GTAATCCACCTCATCGATACTGATGCCTGCATCCCGAATGGCATCCTTGATGACATGAACCTGAGAGGGTCCGTTGGGGGCCGTGATACCGTTGCTGCGCCCGTCCTGATTGACAGCGCAGCCCGCAATGCGTGCATAGATCCGATCTCCGTCGTCACGGGCAGCGTCCTCAGGCTTGAGGACGAGGACAACGCACCCTTCCCCCCGCCCATAGCCATCAGCTCCAGCATCAAAGGTTTTGCAGCGCCCGTCTTGTGCAAGCATGCCTGCTTTGACAAGCGCATGATGCAGATGCCCGGTCGCGGCAAGATTAACGCCACCGACAACGGCAAGCTCACATCCACCATCCTGAAGAGATTTTTTTGCGAGATCGAGCGCAACCAGCGAGGATGAACACGCCGTATCCACAGCAACGCTTGGCCCACGCAGATCATAAAAATAGGAAAGCCTGTTGGCCGCGATGCTGCTGGCACTTCCCAATCCCGAGAAAGCATTAGGCTGCCTGACACTTACGAAGGCAAAATCCTGAGCGCTGATGCCGATAAAGACGCCGACACGCCGTCCCTTCAGGTTGTCGGGGTTGATGCCGGCATCCCTGAATGCCTGCTCCGTCGCTTCAAGAGAAATCGATGTTGCGGGTCGCTTGTTGCGGCTTCGACATCTGACATAGCAAAAAACTGCGGATCAAATTGCCGGATGTCCCCAAAAAAAACTTCCGATCGCGTGAGACGGCTTGCGGGGCGACGTAAAAGGCAAATCATCTGACCAACGCGCCGGATCGATGTTTACATTGTGACTTTGACCCTCTTTAAGAGACGTCCAGAAATCCGCGACTCCCGCCCTACCGGGAACGCGCACCTCCATCCCGATAATCGCGATGGCGGATGCCGGTTTCGTCTCCGCCACCCGTGCAACGGGCGCGTCTCCGTGAGTCGACGGATCGTCCGCAGGCGTACTCGGCTGAGTTTTCAAAGGTTGCGGGTCATCTGCGCCTAAAGTGGCATTAACCATACTGGCGAGAGCTGATGCCAGTTTGTTGATGGTGGGGTGGTCGTAAACCATCGTTGGGGAGATCTCGATACCGAGATGTGTTTCCGCCTCGCCGATGAGACCGACAGCCTGAAGCGAGTCCAACTCGAAGGAGGAAAAAGCGTCGTCATACTGCGACGATGCGATGGGTTTTTTGATCGACCGACCGATTTCTTCCGCGAGGAATTCAGCAATCGACGCTGTGTCTTCAGCAAGGTTTCGGTCCGCGCCCATTTCACTGTCAGCCGGTTCATCACATGCGGCACTTCGCCAAACTGCACTGAGCTTGCCGGACTGATAAAGGGCCGCAGCTTTAACACGCTGGAGTTTCCCACTCGTGGTGCAGGGCAAAGTTTTTGCGGAGACAAAAACGATATCGGACAGGGTAAGACTGTGACCTTCATTGACAGCTGAGCGTATCTGCCTTGCAAGCATAGGAAAATCGG